CAAGAGGGGTCAGATCCCCAGGAGCAGGACTGGTATGAATTTTCAGCCTAACTTAAGGATTGAGGAGTCAAACATCATTGAGGATGGAATGACTTACTACAAGATGTCCTCCTTCTTGGTACACAAACCCACATTCTCTAGATCTTACTGAGTTATGGAATGTGTAAATAGATACAATGACTGAGGTTATAAAGTCAAAGAATAATGTGTCTGTAAATGAGTATAGTATAGAGCAGAAAGACGGGAAATATCTTGTCTCTCTGACATACTGGTAACTTGTGAAGGCTGGTATAGATTAGATGAATTGAGATGCAAAGTCCCACCTTAATTGTAGATAGCACCATTCCTGTGCTGGGGTCTTGGACTAAAAGAAAGAAAGCTAACCGAGTATCAACATTCATAGCTCTTTGCTTCCCGACTGAAAATGCAATGTGTTGTCTGTCTGCCTTCAGTTCCTACTTCCATGACTTCTCTGTTATAATACACTGTTCCCTTGAGCTGTTGGCTGTGATCAACCCTTTTCTGTTTGTGTTGAAGTGTTTTATTGTACTTATTGTATATAGTTTTTCTTATAGTGTTATAACCTTCTTTTATTATTTTGGACAAAAAAGGGGAAATGTAGTGATATATTGTGTACCCTAATAAAATTTGCCTGAAGATCAGAGGACAGAACAAGCCACTAGATTGGTGGCACACACCTTTAATCCTGGTACTCGGGAGATCTCTGTGAGTTCAAAGCCTTGGACTACATGAGATTGACTCAGTCTAGGAGAGAAACAAAGCCAGGCAGTGTTGGCACACACCTTTAATCCTAGTACTGGGAAGCACACGCGCCTTTAATCTCAGGAAATGATGGCTAGGTGGAGAAAGGTATATAAGGCCTGAGGAGACAGGAACTAAAGGCTTTTCAGCAGAAGCATCCCTTTCGGCTGGAGCCTTTCGGGTGTGGCAGTGGCTTGTTCCTTTGTCTCTCTGATCTTTCAGCATTTCCCCCAATATCTGGTCCAGTTTTTTTTGTTTGTTTGCTTTTTTTATTAAAAACCTTTTAACCTTTATTAAAATTTTTATAAAAACCTTTATTAAAAACCTTTTAACATTCGAGCAACAGTGTATTGTCACAGGTATAAGAGCAGCAACTAACACACCACGTCTTCCTCATTTTTAAAATGAAGGTTCTAGATCATTTCCTTTCGTTCAGATATTTTACAAGAATTTAGGCATTAATATTTTCCATAGGCTTTGCCCAGATTTGGGTGAAATTGGATGCATTTTTTACTTCTGGTTTACCTCTCCCAGTTTGGCTCTCATCCAGTACCTGTCCCCTTGACTTATGGACTCATTCCGTGGTATTTTTTGTTGGAGCAAAGCCACACTCTCATCTCTGTCCCCCACTGGCTTTCACCTGGTGTTGACTGAAGGGGAGCCTCTCCACCTTCTGTAAATGTGGCAGAGGTGGGCATGATTGCCAGATGAGCAATGCTGATGATTGTAGTCGCTGGGAGATTCCCATAGAATGCACAGGACTCTCTTATGTCTTAATCTTGAGAAAACGATGGAGTTCACAGCAGCATTCCTCTAGATAGAAACTTTATCCATCGTTTAGCATGAGTACACCGGACAGTACATTCATCCTATTCTACATCTAACCACAGACCTAGCACCCTAGCCTGAGTTGTATCAATTAAGAAATCTCCACCCTTGTGAACTGAGTTATATTCTCTCAGTCAGGCTCAGTTTTGAGATGGGTACATAGATTAGTCCGTAAGTAAGTTTCCTTCAAAACTCAGTAATCAGTGATTGGATCCCAACTCACACCTTTGTAAGCCATTGCTAACCCCGCATTTAACACAGGAAACCTAGTGTTCTTTAAAAAAAATGATCCTTTTTGTCTCCCTACATGCTACAGTGACTGGTCTACAAGCTTTGCATGCAATTTAAAGAATTTCCTATGGTCCAAAAGAGATTTTCCATGGCTAGAAGGGAACACAGGCATGCTGTTCTGGGCCTGGCCACCAGTGGAGCTCTGGGCATGGCCCATTAACATTCTTACTTGCTTTTAATTGAAAGGATGCTGTCCCGACCATTTTCTTCTTCCATGGCACAAGTATCCTGCTGACAACATTGATCTTTTGGGGAAACAGCACAAATGTACGATGATTAATATATTCTGCCTTGTTATTTCAGAAGGATGGCTGGATGGCTCTGCCAGGAGGCAGGTTACCCAGGTAGTTCACTTTCTGTCTTTCTTCCTTTCCCTGTGAACGTGCAGCGCTCATTAGTGTGGAGGCTGCCCAGGCAGGAGGGCAAGAGGGCAGGGGCATCTTCTTCTGCTAGCATCCGGGCAGCGACTGGACAAATGAGCAGCTGGAACAGGGGTCTGGTGTTTTTTGTGAGTTTTTCTGCTCATCACCTGCATCTAAAGACTTGCTAGCTGAATATTCAGCTTTTTTTTTTTTTTTTTTTTTTTTTTTTTTTACAGGTTATGGTTTCTTAGAAAATCAGAACATATTGGAAAGATTTTGGAACATTAGTTACAAACTTAGTTTCTTCTATTGATATCCCAACTGTGTAGTTGTAAGTAGAAGAAATAAAATCTGAATACTTACTTAGGTTTTTATTATTTCTTTGTAAACTATGTAGAATAACTAAAGCAAAAGAAGGTGACAACATCCCTTTCATGGAAACTAAGATGACTTTATCTAAAATTTATCCTGTGTTGTTTTAATCCCTTATGTAAAGATACACTGCCAATTAACCTGGGGTGAGCCTGTGGAGGGGACACATCCAGTTATCACAGATGTTAAGTTGTGCGGGTCACAAGCTAATAGCTGTTGGAAGTTTGTTATAATTAAGCCAAGAGAAAATTCAGACTTGAAAAGTTCCATGTTATGTGTGAGAAACTATTGACTCTCAATTAAATTTCATTTGTAAAAGTCGACGAGTCATTGGAGAACTGATTGGTGTGCTCTTCCTTGGGGAGGGCCGCCGCTCCTGCTCCCAACTTTGCTCAGTGGTCTGTAGTTCTTTGTATAGGACTGATGCCTCTTGAGCTTTTCCTTGTGTTGTTTGTCATGATGGTCTTCCTTGTTCAGCTCATTTGGGGGCAGTCATGTTGGCTACTTTATGCGTGTAGCCTCTGACACTACTAGTGGACATAATCTCAGCAAAGTCACCAGCCTCCTGGCTCTTACCGTCTTTCCACTCCCCCTTCTACAATGCTTCCTGAGCCTCTAGATGTGGCAGTATTTTATAGATGTATTCTTTGGGGGAACTGGGCTCCACAACTCTGCATATTGAATGGTTGTTGCTTTCTGTAATGGTCTCTGGTTGTTGCAAAGAGAAGTTCCCTTGATGAGGGGTGAGGAGTACACTTATATGTGCATATGAGGACAGATGTTTATAGATTGTTGTTAGGGATTATCTTGATTTAGTAAATTAGTGGTTGTAGGTTCTCCTCCAATGACCCTGACTTCACTAGCACTGAGTGGTTAGGCAGGTTTTCAATATCAGGCATGGGCTCCTTCTTCTTGAGCAGGTCTTAAGTTCAATTAGAGACATTAGTTTCCATCAAGGTATGTGCGCCACTACAACACCTGTAGGGTTAACATATCATGTTGGTTGCTTTTCTGGGTGGGACTGTTGTTTGCCTCTCTCCTTTGGAAGCCTGCATAGTAGCTTCTGGAACTATGAAAGCCAGTTCTCAGGGAGGGGGGATTTATTTTGGCCCTGAAAACATACATATAAGTAACATTGTAGGGACTCAACAGGTCATATTTGGGAATATATATGTATATGCAAATACATATATGCATGAACTAACAACTGAGGCCACAAAAAGCAAGCAAGCAAGCAAACAAACAAACAAATAAATAAACGAGTAAATAAATAAACAAACCTGGGAAGTGGTAGCACACATATTTAATCCTAGCACTTGAGAGGCAGAGGCAGGCAGATCTCTATGAGTTCTAGGCCAGCCTGGTTACAGAGTAAGTTCCAGGACAGCCAGAACTACACAGAGAAACCTTGTTTATAAACCCCCCCCCAAATCAATCAATCAATCAATCAATTAATCAGTCAGTCAGTCAATCCATAAATAAATAAATAAATCCAAAGACTGTGAATGAATCTCAGCTTTTGGGAAGAAGCAGGCAGGGAACAGCTCACCGCTGATTGCAATGAACACTGTAATTCAGGTCAGTCAAGGCGCAAAACCACTGAATGGTTTTATTTATGTATGCTAAGAATAAAAGAAAAATTAAACAACACACAGATATAATTTCTCCTACTAATCACATATTTCTAGATATAAAAAGGTTCATGTTGTCAACACTTTCTGTCAGGGAATATATTTTGAAAATTTTTAATTCTTGATGTTTGACTCAGACAACTATTAGTCAACTTTGGATTTTGTTGTTGTTGTTAACTATCATAATCTTAGTTCTTAGTCTCCTACTTTGTGTAAGTGTTCACATGTGTGCCGGTGTACACACATGTGTCGGTATGAGTCCACGTGCAAGTCAGAGGTCACCTTCAGTATTGCTCCTCAGGCTCCACCCACTTTTCCTTTGGGACAGGCTGCCTGGCCTGGATTTGCCAAGCAGGCTAAGGTGACTGTCCCGAGATGTGCAGGGACCGACCTGTCCCAACCTCCCCAGCGCTGACGTGATAAGCACGAGGCACCATGCCTGGCTTTTCCTGTGAGGGTTCTGGGGACTGGATGCAGGCTCTTGAGCTTGCAAGGCAAGCACTGTATGGAGTGGGTTTTCTTGTGAGCCTATCCATGCTATGAAATGATGTTTTTATGTGATATACGAGTACGCCGGACCCTGAATTACCAGTTACACACTTTATCAGATTCTCTGTAAGGTGACTGTATTGAATGTGAAAATGGGTAGTGAGCCGCCTGGACTTTGTAATATGGTGCGCCCCGTGCATTTGCAATGGAAGCTGCCGACTGTCCTGCCCCTCTCAGGTGTCCTTCTTCCTGACTTAGGTTACAGGATGCAGCGTTTAAGGAAGATGCTCTGCGAGAGGCTGTTCACAACTCCTCACTGAGAGGCAAGCAACTAAATCACCTTCCGCTTTGCCTCACCTCGTCTGCCCAGGAAGAACTGGATTTCAGTCTCTCTTGGCTTAGACTTGTGTTGCATCAAAAACTCACCTCAGATCTGTTTGCTTTAAGGTAACTCATACTTAGGAAATATATTCCCTAACATGTACAATGCATCACCATGGTAAGCCAGGTAATCACCCCTGTAAGATCACCTGCCCTCTAAGGATACATTTAAAGGGTACTCAGTAGTAGAAAGAAGGATATGTAAGTAATCGTGGTCATTCCAAATGTACTCAGAAGCATGATCTATCTATGATCTATCTATCTATCTATCTATCTATCTATCTATCTATCTATCTATCTATCTATCTATCATCTATCTATCTATCTATCTATCATCTATCTATCTATCTATCTATCATCTATCTATCTATCTATCTCTATCTATCTATCTATCTACTATCTATCTACCTATCTATCTATATCTATCTATCTATCTATATCTATCTATCTATCTATCTATCTATCTATCTATCTATCCATCTATCTACCTGTGTGTCTGTGTATCTATTTATCTATCTAATCTATCATCTAACAATCATCTATCTACTATCTATCTATCTACCTATCTATCTATCTATCTATCTATCTATCTATCTATCTATCTACTATCTATCTATCATCTATCTATCTATCTATCATCTATCTATCTATCTATCTATCTATCTATCTACCTATCTATCTATCATCTATCTATCTATCTATCTATCTACCTATCTATCTATCTATCTATCTATCTATCTATCATCTATCTATCTATCTGTCTGTCTGTCTGTCTATCTATCTATCTATCTATCTATCTACTATCTATCTATCTATCATCTATCTATCTATCTATCTATCTATCTATCTATCTATCTATCCATCATTGTTCCCCTCCTCATTTTGTTCTTTTTCCCTTTCCACGTCTCTGCTTCTCCCTTTCTGTATCCCTCCTCTTCCCCAGAGTCACATGCCAACAGAATCTTTTCTCACTTATTGTAAACCACATAAAAGTTTGTTACATCTCTACTGCTGACATTTTAATTTAAAATTTCATTTTCCCTGAATCACACCTTACCTCTCATATGACTGCATTTGACAGGGTAACATTTGCTTCCTTTATGCTCGAGCAGTGCCTGCCTAGGGGCATGGATTCATTTTCTGGGTACTTTGCTATGCCACTACCCAACTTCATAGGTGGGTCTCAGTCCTCATGGATATGCAGGAATAGCTGAGAGAGTCCACAGAGAAATTTGAAAAGTGAGTGGAGACAGTTTGCAAGTGGATTCCTCAGGTAACCATCTCCAGTCTTTAGAAAGGGAAATCTCTCTCTCTGAAGCTGTCAATGCACTGGGATACCCAGTCCTTTTTATGTGAGAAAGACAAATGATGTATGAGAAACTTTTGTTTATTGTAAACTGAAGTCTAAGAAAAGTTTAAAAACAAACTTTAATGCTTCATTTTTATGCACACAAAACCTAAAATTTGATTATGTCCCCTGGAAAAAAAATGCTTTTTAAATAGCTTAGATGATTCTTATATTTATCAGAAGACTACTACTTAGAAACACTTACACTGTAATTAGGATCTGGGTCTAGTTGGGGGATGGTAATCAAAAATTAGTTTCTAAACTAGTGCTGTGGGAGGCCTCCTGAAAAGTGAGGTGGCCACCCCACCTGGGCAGGCACCATCTGGCACTCTCTGGGCAGCCGGACTCTGAGTGTCCCCAAGACTGCTCAAAACATTGAACTCAGAATCCGCAGGTCTAATTTACTGTTCTGTTTGCTGAAATGGCCACATTAGATGATTTTTAAAAGACATTTCTCTTCTTTTGGATGTAAATCCTCAAGGGCTTTCTGCCATGGAGACCTGAGGTTGTCCTTTCAAACAAAGCTTTTTCATTTTTATATAGAAATAAAGACTAGAATCAGAATTGAAAAACACAAAACAAAACAAAACCACCATTTTATTTTACATCAGGCAAGATTCCTTTTTTAGGTGAACTCTCAGATAACGAGCTCTCTACTCTGTTATTCACTCTGAATAAGTGCCTTCCTTAAGAAAACAGCCCTGCCTCTGCCACCCATCCAAGTGGGAACTCATTTACCAGAACAGGACTCAGTCTTTGGGAGGCTTCTCCCCTCACAGGAAGCTGTGGGCAGCAGTGAATTCTGTTTCCTCCATCTCTCAGGTTTTCCCCATTCACACCTGAAGGTATCTTTTATACGTACACAGCAGTTTCATGCTTCTGCTCTCAAATGCACAGGAACGGCCAAGGATATGCCCATCTTTCGAGCATCTCTCAGACCTGAAATCTAGACTTGCAGTACTTATTGCCACAGACAGGAGCGCAGCAAAGGAACAGAAAGGCACAGTATAGGAGGAACACAAGAACGCTTCCAGGGAAACAGGAACAGGATACGCAGATGGACTCAGAAAATCAGCCAAGTCAGGTCTGCGGTCTTCGCGTCCAAATGCCTGACTCAGGTTCAGAGCAAAGGTCTTCATCTTGGTATCTAAGTAACCCAGTAGTCTCACTTTCTGAGGGAAATCACCACTTTTTGTGGCCATATCTCCAAAGTTGCTTTTGATCCCTATGTGAGAATAAACTTGCAGGGTTCTTTTTTTGTTGTGTTTTGTTATTTTTCAAAACAGGGTTTCTCTGTATAGTTCTGGCTGTTCTGGATCTCACTCTGTAGACCAGGCTGGCTTTGAACTCACAGAGATCTGCCTGCCTCTGCCTCCTGAGTGCTGGAATTAAATGGGTGCACCACCATTACCCGGTGCAGGATTCTTTATCTACTGGAAAAGAACTGTCTGTGTGGAGCTGCCGTCTACGTAGCTTCATTTCCATCTTGTGCCTTTCCCTTCCTTTTACCTCATTTTATCTTTTGAATTACCAGAAGTTTTATTGTTTGCTTTTTTTTCTACAATTTATTTTTTCAGGGAAGTTATATTTTCCCAGTTATATTTTAGATGCTTATCATGGGTATTTTAACATGCATAATTAATTTAAAATTAATATCATTAACCATCATATAAATTGCACACAACACATTTCACACATTCTATTTCCCCTCCTTGCTAAATTTACACAGTAATTTGGGTCTACATTGCTCATTTTAATCACAAACTAGAAGCCACTGTGACCATGTTAGTGATGAATTTTCAGTCACCCATGTTTATATGTCTGTGCTTCCTGTCCATTTTTGTGCCTTAGATTTTCTATCCATGGAAAGGAATTGCAAGATTATGCATCTGGTTAATCTTAGTAAGGCTTCCTACAAACATCTGCCCGTGGCAGGGGTGACTCTACAATTTCCTGGGGCTTTCCCACTGAAGATGGATCTTCTACCTAACGACACGTCTTCCCTTTCTTGATATGCTTTGATAAATTTCCCCAGGCAGTAGTAATTCCTTTCCCACCCTTTCTGTGTGTTCCAGGGCAGCTTCACTCCAGAGTTCTTTGTCCCTGCTGGTGGCTGCAAGTACATATACGCCTTACTTCTTAGAGTCTTCTCCCGGTATCTCTAATAAGGGCCCCCACTAGAGGCTGAGGTCATTGCTAGAACTTTCTTTCAAGTATGTCTATACAATCATGTTTCAAGGTTCTGGATGGGTATCACGTACACCCTGCCTTTAAAGTTCTTAAATGTGTGAGCACTGGCGAACTTCACAGAACATTTGTGCTTTGAGAATTAATCAAATGTTCTAAAAGTGTCATTTCAGGTGTTATATGCATTTATTTCCTTCTTAATACTCCCTTCCCTTTGGCACAGAAAATTGAACTTCATGATATCTTGCACCAAGTCATCCTCTCCATTGACCCTTCACTGTTCCTTCATCTTCCAGGGTTTCAGGAGTCAGAATTCGGGGTGACAAGGACTGTATTGTCATGTTTTCCATGATAACATGTCAGGCTGCACTGATGGATTTGCCTGGCACCGATCCTGACATCTGTCAATCATATTCCAAGGTTGTAAGATCTCCTTTCGCTTGCTGAAGTTAAATGCAATCCCAGTATCCGGTTTTCTCCAGAGAACTCTGTGGGAGGAGGAAACAGAATGGGGCTCTGAAAGAAGCTGGAGTCAAATGCCGTCTTGTTACAGACCTCCTTACAGTTACTCCCAGGAATGTTGGGACATATGTGTGGCAGCTTCCCTTCTGGTCAATCTCAGAAGCATGAAGTCAACCTGAGACCATCAGAGGAAGTCACACAGTGTCAGAAGCTGCTGCCGTGGTCAGCTCAGCCCTAGGCATTTCCTGATTTGAAACCATTTTTAGAGGATGACCTCTTCAGAATATCGCTGGTGTAGGAAAGGCTTGGTTTTTCTCTATCTGCGATTCAATACAGAAAGCACAGGGCTGAAACTCCCAACAGCTTACCTGCAAGGGAGCCGGCACCGTGAAATTCAGAAAAGGCAACTGTCTTTATGCCACCTGAACCACTTTAAAAATTCTAGTGACACAGAACTGAGACGCAGTCTGCAGATACACTCCTACACCATACCTTCAGTGATTATGGGCTATGGATGGCCTCTGAGTCAGGGCTGTATGGCTGTGTGTGGATCAGGGTGATAGCTGAGTACATTCATCCTGAGTACAGTTGTCTCCTGAGAGCACCATGGTATCTCATCCCGTGTTGGATTGCCACTCTATTAAGTGGGCTTCAAGTGTCTGGAGTTTCCAACTTGTTTATCAACTAAACATAATGGAGGCTTTTTTTGAACCATGATCATATACAAATTATTGAATTTAAAACTGTACTGCTAATTGGGGAAGAAAAAAAGCTTTTATTTTATGAGTTGTGTTTTGTCCCAGAATTCTCTAACTCGAAAGTAGGTAGGTAATGATGTAAAGATGGCAGACCTCAGTTCAGATGCTCTCTGTATCCATAGAAACACCCTTGACCATTTTGCTCCCTGCAGAGTCCTGGCATCCTGGCTCTGAAGGGAAGAGCACTCTCCAAGGCACTGTCTGCCTGAGAGCAGCTTCCCAACAGTCCTGGGAGACGTCAGCAGAGCCTTGTGATGTCTGGGGGACTCAGAAAAGCTAAAACCTAAAGCAGCTGCCTGTGATGCACTGTTCCTAAGAAGGGCAGAAAAACTTGGGACGGTATGGAGTGTTTGAGAGCACTGGGGAAGTTCTTCTGACAGCCTGGCAAGGCCAGAGAAATCATGCCTTTCCAGAACACGCATCAGACACTCTGCCAGAATGCCATCAGGGTGTGACCAGGCTCTTCACCATGGACACCCAAGGAAGGTAGCCTACCAGGAGGGGACTAACTTTGGGTACTGCAGAACCACAGGACTGCTCAGCCATGTGCTGGTAAGTCTGTGTCACTGTGTAAGTCACTTGGTATTAGACTTGTGTCATTTTAAAAGAAGTCTGGCACGGAAAATCAGTGGTCTTAATCACAGTGCCCGTGTACCTGTAGCTAGAGTTTTCCTGCCTGGCCCACAGTCAGGACAAATCTCTCTCACCTGCCAGTCCCACAGCCACTCAGACCCAACCAAGTAAACACAGAGACTTATATTGGTTACAAACGGTATGGCCGTGGCAGGCTTCTTGCTAACTGTTCTTACAGCTTAAATTAATCCATTTCTATAAATCTATACCTTGCCACATGGCTCATGGCTTACCAGCATCTTCACATGCTGTTTGTCATCATGGTGGCTGGCAGTGTCTCTCTGACTCAGCCTTCCACTTCCCAGCTTTATTCTCCTCCTTGTCCCGCCTACACTTCCTGCCTAGCCAATGGCCAACCAGTGTTTTATTTATTGACTAATTAGCAACACATTTGCCATACAGAACATCCCACAGCATGTACCTTTTGTGTTTACTCCTCAGCTCTCTGTCCTTCCTCTCCTCTGGCTAGTTGGTTATAGTTTTGAAGACGGATCTCTGCTTCACTCCTGTTTTCTCGATAAGCCATTTCTACCCACTCTGCCTCGCTTCTTACCAGTAAACCTATGTGCGAAGTGTTCTAAGTTTCTTAGTGAGATGCTTAAGCACTGAGAAACTAATTAATTAACATAATAGATGGAGACACTGATATGGTGATCACGGCGCTTGCAGTGTTTTGCGGATACAGGTGGCACACTGCTGTCTTCATACATGTTTGTTTCCTTTGCACAGGAATGCATAGTGCACCATGGCTAACATCAACAGTAAAATGATGAGGGACCCTAGCGAAGTCACAGGGGTGCTACAAAAACAGGAAGAGACACATTTTACCTCCTGCACATGAATGCAGTGGGTTTTAGCATACAGGGCCACTGTAAGCGCGAGGGCTCAGGGAGAGAAGATTCTTCTATTTTCAGTATATTCAAAGGAAGAAGGAAAGATACCCTCAAGAAGGCAGATGTCAGAGGTCTAAATGTAAGAACTGAGCAGCGCTGGTCAATTTCTCGCTTTGACTCATCTTGGAAACACTGGCTAACATGATAACACAGCCCTGTATGAGGTGTGGGACCATTAAGCCAGAACCTGCCAGTGTCAAAATCACACCTTGAATGAACTGATTAACAAAACAGAACCAGTTCAGCTTGAGGAAGCCCACCTGATGAGCTGGGACAAGATTTGCGTCAATCAGGATGTCCTTGGGCTTAATTATTTCTAGTCACTCTGGCTAGTTTTTAATCAGGGCCATTGTTGGCAGAATTTGTGACTTAATTTCACGAGGTATTGATGTGGGATCTGCAAGGCCTTCAGGACTGTATTTAGACCCCACTACAATTGGGGAATCTAAGCAGGGGAATGGCACAATGGTATTTTCTCACTGATGTTTCTCTTGCCTTCGTTTGCCACATTCAGATCTACAATCGTGAACGGCCACTAGTCACAAGGCCGTGTGTGCCAGGCAAGTGTGAACAATTACATAAGACATCACTAACTTAATTGAGAGGTTACTATACATAATAATGTGATTACTGTTATATGTGCCCCACACACTGAGGGATACCCTGGACTAACATTTCCATGCTGGGAGTTCCCATGGAAATCTGTCTTCCCCTGACTCCCCTTGTCTGGGATGCACGGTATCAAGAGGAGAAGTGTTGGAGTTTGAGACAGAGTGTCTGGCTCCTGAGGTCTCATTGTTCCAATTATTTCTGTATGTGGAGTCACACTTGTGACAATCTTCGAGGGTCTGTATGGGTGTCTCCATTTCAAGATGGTAGATGAAACATGTGGAACCTTTTGGGGGTTTTGATTTATTTCAACCTCTTTTAACAGGAAAAAAATAGAAAAATGTACAAGTTCTAAAAATCAGCTTAGAATTTAATCATTAGGAGGGAAAACTTGTGCCATTTCTTATTTTAGCACAATTAACACATGCACACACAGACACACATATAGACACACATTTACACATGTGCACACCCATGTAGACATGCACAAATACAGAGACATACACACAGACATACATATACATGCACACACACACACACACACACACACACACACACACACACACCATACACATATACACACTTCACCTGGGCACAAGTAACACATGACAAACAGGATAACTATTTACAGACATCTCTGGGCTATGATGGGTTATATCCTGAGAAACCCATCAGAAAAGTGCAAATAAGTAAGCAGAAAATGTGTTTATCACACCTTATTGAAAGCACATGCCAGCCTGGCAGGACAGCGCACTGAAGAGCATCTGGTTTCCATGGTGATGATGAGGCTGACTGGGAGCTCCTGCCTGGCAACCCAAGAGGCTTTCATGTCTGTTGTCACAACCTCAGAAAAGGACTGAATTCAAAACATGACCTGTGGATTCCACAGAATGCGTGTGGCTCTCCCACCACTGTAAATAAAAAATTATGAATCATTTATTGATTTAACTATTTATAACTAACAAGCAAAAAAGTGTGTGTTTTTAAAAGGTATTTTTAAGTAAAAAATGTTTATGCTGTGTTACATGATTTCTCTCTCTCTCTCTCTCTCTCTCACACACACACACACACACACACACACACACACACACACACACACTGTGGGTGGCTGAACTGAAAGATTTAATGTCTACATGAATTATGACCTCAGAAATGTAAAATTCAATGGTGGGAAAGACTGAAAACAAAATTACCTTTCATGCTTAAAATAGATCGTTACAACTATACTATGTAACCACAGACTTGGAAGAGAGACACATTCGTCCCTGGGTTATTGCAGTGCATGAGTGCATGTGTGCACAGACAGGCATGTGTGTGTGCTCATGCACGTGTGTGAGTGTGCGGTATGTATCTGTGCACTCACGTGCATGTGCACATGCGTGTCTGAGGGACCGGCCTTGCCCAAATGGGTGCTCCCGCCCTGTCACCCCCAGTCTTTACTTGCAGCTCCACACATGTGTTCAGTAGAACAGGAGTCGCTGGCGTTTCTGACCCGTCACGTTCTGGAGCCGTCAGTCACTCTGTCCTCTTTCCACAGAAAAGCAAGTCATGCTACTTAACCTGCTTCGCCAAGCACCTTTGGCTTAACTCCACGTCGCCCGCCTTTCACTCAGAATGCCGGTTTCTCGTGGCGTCTGAGGGCTAGCCTCTGCTCCCGTTCTCACGTGGGGGCTCAGCCGGTACAGACTGAAGTGTTTGCCAACGGACAACTGTTGTGAAAGGGAATTTCTAGCTTTTATTTCAAAATAAGGAAATTAGCCAATACACACACACCTTTGGTTGAATCCTCTCGTTGTATTGAACAATCTGTCTCGTGCAAATGATCTGCGGCTTGTAAAGTGGTGTGTGTGCAAGGGCAGGCTGGCAATCATTGTGTGGAGACCTTTTTGAAAGTTTTGTAAGTGTGCAACGGATTATGAGCAGGTCATCATCCTGTTGCCCTCTTATCCCCTCTGCCTTCTACAGATCCTCTTCATCCTCCCAACTGGTTCATCCCTTTGAAGTCTGTGTGTGTCCATGTGTGTGCATGGGTGTGTATGGGTGCATATGCATGCATGTGTATGTGTGTGTGTGTAGGTACATGTGGCTGCTGTAGCCACATGATTACATTAGCCACGTCATGTCTAGAAGACAGACTTGCGCAGCCTCCTTCCCATCCTCCAGCCCTTACATCCTCTCTCCCGCCTTTCTGCAGTGCTCCCTGCATCTTGGAGTGGGTGACACAGATATTCCGTGTATTCTCGGCGTTTGGCCAGTCCTGACTCTCTGATTAGCCCCCACCGTCTGCAACACGGAGCTGTGCCGACGGGGCAGAGAGCAGGGCTGGTCTGGGTTAACTATGAATATTCAGCAGGCAGGCTGGCTGCTTGTTTCTTTAGCTTTACCATCAGTGGAGACATCCTCCCTCAGGTGCTCCCCTGGGTTTTCAACACAGACAGCGTTTCTTCCTGGGGGGGTCTCAGATCCAATCACAAAATGATGGCTGCCACAAAAATGATGGTGTAAACTCACAGAGAATCTACTTGCCTCTCCTGGGGTTGGCATTCATCTGAGTGCTGAGCTTATCATCCTTTTTAATGGTTCCTAGTGTTTTACTTTTTAAACATCCCTAAGAGACTGAGTGAGTAGAATTGTTGCACCTAAAGGAACCTCAAGGCTTGATAGATCAAGGAAGGTGCACACGTGTCCTTGGAAAGAGAACCAGGATTTGAACTCAGGCTTCTTATCACCTCTGCTCGCTCCCTATGATTGGTTACCAAAATGAATATTGTCAGCACCTAATTGCACACTGAAAGTTCAGGAAAACCAGCAATCCCATTACCCTTCAAGATGACCTTCCGCACAGATGTGTGGGGCTGGTTCACTTTCTTCAGAGTCACATACATGAACATGGGATGTATTTGGTCCTGTTCCCCCGTTATTAGCCTTAAACAGGGTAACATTGACCATGGCCTATGTACTTTGTAATGTCAAAGAGAGAACGGTCTCTCAGTTATAAAAGAATTCATGAAACACGTAGCAGAGCCTGCTGCCTGGGGGAGCTCGGGCCTCCGTCCTCGAGGGGAACCCATGCTGGAGTGCTGACTTGCTGGCATCATTACCCACTCAGTTGAAGTTCAGAGGGTGAAGCAGAGCTGCTGTCTTTCAGAAAGTCTGACAGATTTCAGAGGATGGAAATTTTTCTCCACTCTAACACAGTGAATTCTGGGCGCACAAATGCCACCTCCGAGTTACCACTTAGGTTTTCACAGTTTCTT